AGATAAAAGCATAAAGAAATTAATGAACTGCTTAGACTATATTTTGTCTCCTTGAATTCTGTTCTTTTATTGTCCTCCCTCTTTCTCTGTCTGTGTCTGTCTGTCTCTCTTCCCATAATAATGATTTTTCTGTTTCCTTCACTTTCCGTTAACTCCTTACATCTTAGTGACTTTATCGCCTTGCTTGCAATGAAATGATTAAAAAAAGCAGAACACACTACAAAAAAGTTCTATAGTCACTATATTCATGTCCCGCATTCAAGAGGGAAAAACAAATTTTGTCTGACATTAAAAAGGGCGACCTCGAAATATAAACAAACATTGGCCGCTCATTTAAAACTAACATCCAGACAATCAGTGAAGACAGAGGAAGCCATCTTCAAGAATAGTTGCGAAAACTGTCGAGAAAGAGTCGTAAGTCTATGTGCAATAAGCTCGCCTTAAGCTTAGAAAATAAGTACATAAACTTATATAGACGCGTGACTGGGGCACCTCGAGGCGGTGTAATGGTTAGCAAGCTTGTCTCGCTAGAACAATTACGACTGAGTAATGAGTTCGATCCTCAATGAGTGGCCCAAATCTCGACATCTAAAAGTAGCCTCAGCATCTAAACTGCGCTTGGAAAATCACTATGTACCCATTGTCACGCGTCCATTGTGATTTTCCAAGAACAAGTGTTTAGAACCTTCGTTTTCCTACCATCAGATTCTAACCATGGTCGATATAACAGCAAGTAGATAGTATCGATGAAGCAATCCTAATATTCATTACTTTTGGAAAATGCTTGAAAACCACACCCATTTGTTGACCCAAGGCTTGCGGGTGAAATTTAGTAGACAAAACTGTTCGGTAGCCCTCGATAGTTGTACTAGTACAACTCATCGCAGTCTATGATTTGAGCGTATAGCATAACGGTCTCTCCCAGGTACTGCGACGTATTCGTTAAACAGATTTGCAGTATATGCCTTAGCAGGTACCTGCAACTGGGACTAGCCATCCGCCCTAGCTGACGAGCGTTCCCGGAAAACGAAAAAGCCGGCTATTATATAAACTTAAATGAGAAGTCTGTCTTTAGAAGTCCACGTCAAGTCAAGTCACGTGCAATACGTAATACGCGCTTGGCCAGTCATGTTTCTTTCGATTCATGACTGACTGGGCAGAAGATTTCTACCTGTTGATTGCCGTTTCTTTTTGCAGTAGTTTGATTGCAAACCAAAGGCTATAGGGCTGAGTCTGTGCTGCTAGTCAACCGATAGCCGAAGCTGGAGAGATGACAGGGATTCATAGCTTTCATAAATATATTTGAATGTGAATCTAACGAATGCTAATTTTCTATCCAAGCAGAAGTTTCCTACTTGGAACACTGGGGTAAATCAATCTTCCTTTTCACACATCTCTCTGTGTTAGCTTTGACTTTTACTAAGTTTGGCTTGCAATTCGAACTCGGCTCTCAGATTTCTAATTCTAAGCCGTTTATCTTAGAACAGCTTTTTAAATTATTTTCTTGTGTTCACCGGATATTTCTCTCTCGGATTTGTTTTCTTTTATATCGCACGCCGCCATTTTTAAAATTCTTTCCTACGATATTTTATATTGATTCTTTCTTTCTTTGACTCTTTCTTTCACTCTTTCTTTCACACTTTCTTTCTTTCTATTTTATATCCTGTTGTGATTTCTTTTTCTTTCTTTCACTCTTTCTTTCTGTCTTTCACACTTTCTTTCACTTTTTTCTTTTTAATCTTCCTTCCTTTCTTTCTTTTTTCTATTTTGTAGCCTGTTTTTCTTTCTTGGTTAATTTCATTCTTTCTTTCTTTCTTTCTTTCTTTCTTTCCTGCTTTCTTTCTTTCCTGCTTTCTTTCTTTCACTTTCTTTCTTTCACTTTCTTTCTTTCTTTCTTTCTTTCTTTCTTTCTTTCTTTCTTTCTTGCTTTCTTTCTTTCACTTTTCTTTCTTTCTTTCTTTCCTGCTTTCTTTTTTTCACTTTTTCTTTCTTTCTTTCTTTCTTTCTTTCTTTCTTTCTTTCTTTCTTTCATGCTTTCTTTCTTTCACTTTTTCTTTCTTTCTTTCTTTCTTTCTTTCTTTCTTTCATGCTTTCTTTCTTTCACTTTTTCTTTCTTTCTTTCTTTCTTTCACTTTTTCTTTCTTTCGCTCTTTCTTTCACTCTTTCATTACACTTTATTTCTTTCACACTTTCTTTCTTTCACTTTTTCTTTCGCTCTTTCATTTACTCTTTCTTTCTTTTTTTTCTATTTTATGTCCTGCTTTCCTTTTTTTTGATAGTTTCACTCTTTCTTTCTTTATTTCTTTTTTTGTTTTCACCTTTGTTGTTTCGTCATTATTTTCTGTTAATAAAATTCAATTCCTATTTTTTCTCTACACTTTTTGTAACCGTCAGCTGCTTTGAAAGTGATTTCCATTAAGGCGAACGCCGCTATAAAACACGTTCTAAAGAATTAAAAGATATATATTCTTTGTTTATTTTTTAAAAAAAAATAACTTCAACTCCAAATAAATTACTGAAATGTCGACATGTCCCCTTTTATAAAACACCAAATAAAGTAAAAAAAAAAAGGTTAGTTAAAAAAGTCAAGGATAAAACAAGAAAGCTAAAAAAAAATAGTCACAAATACGCGCACACATTAACAGTTATCAACAAAGTTTGGCGTGACAGGACTTCCGGTTACGTCACGCTGAATGCAGCCATATCTGCCGTAATTTTGCATGGAGTTACCTTGGAGGGGGTAACGATTCAAAAATATCAAATACAGTATAAGAAGTGGGCTGGAAAAGTTCATCTGCTGACTATGAAGGAGTTGTGAAATCTTGCATGCATGAATTTCAAATAGTTTCGTTCCAGGTAAACTGACACCTGACTGTTTAAAGAAGGCTGTTCATCCTATTTACATTATTCGGACTATTGTCCTCATCTTTGACGCCATATTTATTACAACGTTTCTGCCGTTGTACGCTCCGGCCTTCTGAAGGTGGTTGGAATGTCGAACTGAACCCTTTATTTCACTCGCTGGGGGAAACTGTTCTAGTTCCACGTACCATGTCTGATGGATGTCAGTTATCAGATATCTCCTGTTAATTCACCTCCCCAAGTTCTCCACTGCCTTAACCAGGTATTGAAATCACAACTCTTTGTGTCCTGTCACGCCTTTATCCATTGTGCCATGTGTCATTAAGGACATGGCACGTGGAACTAGAACTGTCTAACCTAGCGAGCCAAATAAAGGGTTCAGTTCAACATTCCAGCCACCTGAAGAAGGCCCGAAATGTTTTGATAAATATGGCAACAAAGATGAGGACAATAGTTCGAATATTGTAAATAGTGTACATAATACCACATCTCAGAAATAATGACAGATTCTGTTCATCCTGTTGTTAAAAAAAAAGTCATCAAGAGCAGTTATGATGTCAACATGACTGGGTTACTGGTTCCAAGCGAAGTGTTTTTGTTTTTTTTCATGTTTGGGAACAGATGATAGTCAAATCAGGAAAATATGGAGAGTGATCAAGCAGTTCAAAGATACAATCACGCACAGCAGCCATTCAAAGCAAGAACTTGTGTGGTGAAGCAATATCCTGATGAAACAAGACCCCTTTCGTCGGTTTTCCTCGGAGTTTCATAACTGCCGCGGCAAAATGGCAGTGTACTCTCCATTGATGGTATGGCCCATTTAAAAATAGTCAATAAGTACAATGCCTTTAACATCGTAAAAAACATATCCAATCACCTTCCCTGCAAATAAAACGACCTGGAGCAAATGAGGAGGGCCTTTTTTTTACTGCATGAATCTGGCGGAAAATCATGAATCCAACGTAACTGACTGACAGAATGCCAAATTATAATGAATAATTTAGATAGAAACAACAATAATTAGATGTTTACCTTTTAATATAAAAGACGTGATTCAATCTTTGTCCAATTGGAAACAATTCTACATACAATTAAGAATGCATATCCATTGTATTTCCATTTTGTGCCAGAAAGATTCTCCTGGCCAAGAAATCAGTCTTGTATAAATATGCTGAAAGGAATGGTAAAAGGTCTTTAAAAACAATTTCAGCGATTGATGGATATTCTAATTTTATCGCAAAAGAAAAGAGGGTCGGTAGTTTCGGAAACTATCTTATTCGTTAGTAGCCGTGTACGAACAGATTATAATTTATGAACCGGTAGGCTATGGTTCGTGTAATGTCAGCTGAAGTTCCAGAAACTTTTCTGAATATGGTTCACGCACCTGCAACCTCTGGTTCACTTACCGGTACACTATGGTTTGCTTACCGGCAGTCTGTATTTTTCTGCACCGGTAGTTTACAGTTCGCCTACTGGCAACCTAAGTATCGAGAACCGGCAGCTTATAGTCCTCTCTTTTCGAAAACTATCGAAAGTATCATTCGTTAGTAAGTGCACTTCATCAGCCTATTCTTCACCAATTGGCAGGCTATGGCCGGTAGCCTATATTCTCGCTTGCCGGCAAGTGTATGGTTCGCGTACCGTCAGCCACAAGTCTATGAGGTTGTAGTTTCGAAAATCTTTTTTTTTATTTTTCGTTGACAGTGATATTACGTTAACCTACGATTGGGATGTGTATTGTGGTGTAATTGATATGTGCTAATGGATATGAGAACTCTGAGAGCCGAGTTCGAATCGCAGTCAAGTTCGTCATATTCACTAACGCACAAATACCCTTGGGAAAGGTATGAATCGATCTCTTCTCCTCCCAGTTGAATCGCAGGCCACACAGGGTTCTTTAACCTTGGGTGGCAACCAGTCTAGCTCAGAAAGAAATGGCAACCTACTGCGTTAAAAATCTCCTGTGTCGTCAGTCATATATCGAAAGACACATGATCGCCCAAGCCTGTATTGCATGTGGCACTTAACTGACTGATTGACGGTTGGGGTAGCACTACAAGAGACAGTCTATGTTTTGGGTACCGACTTCCTATGTTTCGGGAATCAGTAGCTCATGTTGCGCGTACTGGTAGCCTATG